TTGGGCATTCTGTCCAGTCCAGATATTCAGTTATTCGGAACGGACGTATTGAGACTTAATCATTAATTGTATCTGGACTGCTAATTACCCCTAGCCGAAAAGGGTCACACGTAAGCCGGAAATGAACCCTTAACAACTTCCGGTCTCTCGGGTCATTATGAGCCGGGATCAAGCAACTGAGTCATTAGCTTCGTAAGGTGTTGAGTGCTTCTCAAAAATAGGGATATTCTTGGTTTTTGTAGGTTTGACGAAAATGTCTCCTTAATCACCTGATATTCCACAGAGAAGTACGCACAGAACTACATTGTACCACCTGAATAGAGTCCCTTAATTATTACTAGCTGGCAAAATACTACATTACCGCATAAAAGGGATGTGTGGTCGTAAATCAGCGGAAGTCATTGGTGGTGCCCTCTATTTCGTTCCTAGGAGAATGGCAGATCTATCTTTTATAGCTTTATTGTATAATTTCTGTCTTGTTCCCAATCTTATTCCTTTTTTTCCATAACATTTTCCCTAAGTTAACACTTTCTTCACAATTATAAAAATGTCTATTAAAACGTTAAGCTGCAACAGAACACTTATGTATTGTGCAGTTTGGAAATTTTGGCGTGGTCCAGTTTTTCACTGAGCAATTTTAATGGGAACCGGTAACTGTGAGAAGCCGAAAACTGTTTTCCCTGTTTGTAGAGTGCCTGAGTTCGTGATAAAGGTTGTATTTATATTTCTTTATGTAGGTGTGTTGTGTCTAACTCAGCATTGTCCGGTCGAAACAGCCTGCTCTCTGAATAATCAAAACTGGAGGGCGAACAGCAAGTTTACACGTATTCATTTACCATTGATGATCCTGGTGACCCTCCAAAGTCTGAGGATGACCATCAGACCAGCCGCCTCGCTTGCTGCTTTGCTCACGGACACAAAACTGAAGGTGATGTCCAAGGTAAAGGACACGATGACCACTATAGCGTCAAATACCTGAAAAATTTAAAAGTAGATAAACGGATCTCTTATATTTTTTTGCATTCAATGTAGAAAGATATGAAATCATGTTTAGGTAAATATGTTTGTTATTAACGTAGACATATTAGGTCATAAGCAAGAACCCCCCCCCCCCCCAACCACACACACACAAACACCCTTTCTTTGCAAGCATTAAGAGCCAACTGCGTTTGAAGGGTAAGGAAAACCACAACGATACAAAATAATTCGTGGTATTTTCTCAAAAAAGTCGCTTTTGAGAAAGAGAATGATTACTTTAAAAAGCACATTTTCCCGTATGTTCTCCCCCTCGAAATCGATAAAACAATTATTGAAATATTCTGTCACATTAAGCAAACAAGTAATTAATATTATTATTTTATGGCTGTGATTTTCTACACAGTTTATTTTCGCTATTTGATTGCTTTGATCTAGTAAGCACGCTAGGGGGCGTTTCTAGGCGATCAGAAAAACGTTGACAGATCCAGTTAAATCTCCACGCACAATATTTTGTTATCAGAAGGTACAAAGAGCATCCAATGTAACTCTTGAACCTCGTATTTGTGTCATGGCATGGTGGAATCAGCCCCTCGTCAAGTTATGGGAATAATCTTCAAGTCTGTTCTTTTTTTTTCTTTGCTTTTTGGGGAAGACTATCCACCTGTATTGAACAGAAGTCGCAATATTTTGGATTAAAGGAGGTGGGGTCGCTTGATAGGATAACTAGATAACATTAGCGAAAAAGTGACTGCCAAAGTTTGGTGACTTGTAAAGCTGAATTGTCCCAGGATATTCTGATTTTGCCCTCGATCAACGTTTCCCCCCCCACAAACCTCACACAGACAGTCACTTTTAAACAGACATAATAGGTGCTGAGCACAAAACCAAAGGGCTAAAAAAAACTAGGTTTCTTCAATAACATTATTTTGACGAGCGCCTGATTTCTCCACGATGACACAGATTTTATGACTCTATCAGCATCTAATTTTTATGGAATTTCTCAGTGCGTGTGAAACTCGAATCATTTACTTTTCATTTAGACGTTGCTTAATTAACCCAGAAAGAAGATGAAACTCAGTGCACGTTGTTTTGATGGTACTACGAGTAAGAGGGAGAGAGAGAGAGAGAGAGAGAGAGAGAGAGAGAGAGAGAGAGAGAGAGAGACAGACAGACAGACAGACAGACAGACAGACAGACAGACAGAGACAGAGACAAAGAGACAAAGAGGGAGAGATGGTGGTTGAATGAAAAAGAAAGATAGAGAGAGAAGGTGGGACGGAGGGAGAGAGAGAGAGGGGGGGTATTAAAGAGAGAGAGATAGAAGAGAGAAAGAGACAGAGAGAGAAAGAGAGAGAGAGAGAGAGAGAGAGAGAGAGAGAGAGAGGTGGGGGAAGAAAAGAGAGACAGATAGATAAATAGATAGATAGAAAGTGAATGGGAGTCTTGAATTGCTTTGAAAACCAACAGTCTGCTATCCCAGAGTTGAAACACTTGTATAGGGCCTATCGATTAATTGTTTACGTCAGCTTCACGGAATTCAATTTTCTATTTCTTAATTTTTTCGCTTATGCCTGCTCCATCAACCAAAGAATTGCTCATTTCATTATTTGAAAGAAAAAAGAGATTTCCAAGTACATTTTGTCCAACGAATGAGATGCTGCGTCGAAAGCCTGAATTTTTATTTATGTCTCTTTTCCATTTCCCCCCTATTTATCAGGAAGCAAGATATTGCTGTTAAATTTGCGTTAGCTTTTTAAAAAAAGAACCCATTTTAATTTCTCTTGAGAAAGAGAAATATTTAGATTAGTATTCTGGTAGGAGATTATATTCCGACTTTTTAAATTTACATATTATTTTTTTTTGTCTACTCAGTAAGGGCAAAAATGTTAACCTCCACATAATGGAGCATTTGCAAGACAATGAAATAAAACAATTCTGCTCTATAGGAGCTTCTTTTGAAAACGTAAACATTAAGCAGTATTTTGCAGAGTAACCTCCTACGTGCTGGAATAATCTGATTTGACTTTTTTTTAAAGGTTTAGTCTTGTGCTAGTAGAATCATTATTTGAAACTGTAATATTAACCATGTTTTGAAGTTATTGGGATGTCGTTGGGATGTTGATGTGATTTTTGATACGATTTTGCTGAGGTTTTGTTGTTTTGTTTGATATTACGTTGCCGTGATGTTGAATTCTGTTTGAAAGGCTGTTCCTGTAATGTTGCATTTAGATTGTTGTGACGTCACTGTGATCTTGCTGTCAAGTTTTATGTGATATAACAATAATATTACAACGACGCTGTAGTAATGTTGTGACATTGTCCTGATGTTGTTGGGTGTATGGTTATTATGCTATTATAAGCATACTGTGTGGTTGATGTTCTATTGATTCAACGTTACTGTGACATTACTGTAATGCAGTAACAATGTTGCCATATTCTGATCGAATTATTTTGACAATGTTCTTATAATAATGTGGTGTTGCTAACTGTGGCTTGACTCCCAAACGTTGCACCAGCGCTTTAATCAGTAGTTTGGGAACTCATCATATTTCACGTAATTGCTGTCACATTATTTGCTGCACTATCGGTTGTTTATGCCAAGCTATTTCCACGATCCAGGAATGTTAATGATAATTTAAAATCAACATACCACAAACTACCGATAAAAAACACATTTTGTTGAAACTAATTGTTATTTAAGAAGAGAATGCATTGGAAGAAACGACGGCTAAGGTAGATAATCTAGTCACAAAATAGAAATTGTGAGTATATAACATTTCAAAGCTTTAAGCTTGCACAGTCATAATTTAATTTGTATTCGACTGTTGGTTTATTACTATTACTGGGTGTTGAATGGGAAATCAATCAATGATAATCATTCAACCATTTTAACAGGAATAAAATACGATTATAGGTTACCCGTTGTTTTAATTTTTTGAAGATTCCTTATTTGGCTTACATTAAAGTGCACTCCAAGTCAATACGATTAAACGTACAATAAGATACATTAGGGTTACTTATAGTTACAATAAAAACAAGTAATCAGCACAGAAGGTAAAGGGGGCTCTCGTGGCCTAGAGGTTAAGGTGTTGGCCTCTCATTCAAAAGTCCCGGGTTCGAATCCGGGTAGCGACTGAAAAATGTTCTTCTCTAAATTTGTCTCTTTTCACCTCATTTCCTGCTCTCTAGTAATGTTCTGTCGTCTGCTTTCGTCTCCTCTTTCTTCCCCCACTCCTCACCTCCTTTGCCCCTTCCTCTGGGTTCCTGATTCTTTCTGCAGCCTTTCTACTGCTACTCATTCACTGCTTCTTACTGCTGTCTTTCAGCCACACCCCTGGTCTTCTGATAGGAAAGATCTACACCTAGCCTTCTCGGACAAGGGCGAAAAATCTCGGAGGACCCGTGTGCAAGTTGCGCACGTTAAAGATCCCTTGGTGGTCTAAAATCGATAAGAGTAGGCTTTGGCCGCCACCCGGGCAAAATTCAAAATTTCCTACCAACTGAAAATATTAGGTGTGTCCCGCGCGCTCATATGACCTTATGCAGTTGCGAGCGCCGTAAAACACTTTACAAAAACAAAAATACAAACAGAAGGTAACAAAGTGAGTTACCACCCCTCTCTATGTTTCTCGGCTATACGAAGGACAACAGAAATATAAATTTAAAGGAAAGTTACGGCGTTGTAATTTAACAGCATCTTTTGGAATTTTATTGAGAATAATAATTCATATTTAGAGACACCAACACAGACACTAACACAGACACTAAAGTTATGTGGCTGGCTATACTTCAATTTTATTATAATTATTATTGTGTGTGAGTATGTGCGTGTGTGTGTTTGTATGTGTGCGTGTGTGTGTGTGTTTTTGGTGTATGTGTGTGTGTGTGTGTGTGTGTGTGTGTGTGTGTGTGTGTGTGTGTGTGTGGACACCAAACACCGTTATTACTGTCCCAGAATTAACGAAAATTGTGATGGAGTGTAAAATCAGATTTGAGGTTCATTAAGACTGAAGCCGTAATGT